GCGGGCGGCGCCTTCCCCGTCGCCGCGGGCAGCGCGGCCTCTGCATGAAGGTGTCGTTTCTCGCTAGCTCTCGGCGCGACTCGGGTCTCCAGCTGCGCAGCGCGGGTTTGCAGCGCAGCCCTTAAAAACGGGCGGCGAGGGAGTTGATAAGAGTAGCTGGAACAGCTGAGTGCAAAGCCAAGAACGTTTGCCGGAGGAGGTGTCGGAATTCCCACTAAGCTGTTGGGGAGGGCTTTGGGAGGGTTGTTTCCTGATCTGGAGATTTTCTTTTTTCGTGATCAGTGCCGGGGGGAACAAACCATAGCTTATCCTGCGTGCTGACTTAACCTTCGTAGCATAGGTATGACTAGATACTTCGTGAACTTCGTCTGTAACAAGGGTCTTCTAAAGGAAGCAAATTTTTAACCAACTAGCAAGCTTTATAATTAATTATGCTGTGTGCCGTGTGCAATTGTAGAACATGTGTTTGCAGTGTGTGGTTAACTGCTTATGTTTCTACAAATGTTTGTTTAACTTATACTTCAAATATTATTTAGAATAGAACCACGCAATTACTGAGCATTAAGTAGCATGCTTCTAAAAATGTTTCATAATTTAAAATGTGTCATATTCATCACATTGTGTTATTGTTTACATTGTTTACATTATTATATTATATTGTTCTTTTCACCGCATTACAAAATATCAAAGTAACAGCATCTAAAACTTGGCTTGATTTCTTATTACCAATGCATGGAGTAAGAAACCTGAAATACCATTTGAATATCTCATGCAATTTTCAGAGATACGTACCTTTTCAGAAGAAAGAGTTAAGCTAAAACTCTGAATTACACAAAGTCCCTGTCTTAAAATAGTCAAAACAAAACAACAACAAAAACCCACCGGAGGTGGGAGGGTGGATGGGGGGAGGTATGTTTTTGTTTGTTTTTAGCAACACAACGGGTCCCATGGTAGTCTTTCTTATCTGTTATGTTTTTGTGTTTTTCTTGTAGTGTGTGTTTGTTTGTTTTAAGACTAGGTCTCTGATCTTCAGTCAAATCCCTCTGAAAGTTTGCGTAGATTGGAGTGTAACTTTTGCTCCTTCACCTTCACTGCTCCTTCTAATTTGCCTTCTATCTTTCTCTCTAGCATCTGTTTGGTATCTGAGCTGAAGTACACAGTGTTGAGTTGGAGATTAGGGTTCATGACAGAGTCATAAAATTTTCTGGTGGATGCTGACTGTTTGGCATTAAGGAGGGAAAATATAAAACAGTCAAGTTGGAGAAGTGTGTACATCGTATGCATCTTCCTGTGATGTGATATAAATGCCTAGGAAAAATTAATATGAGGTGAAAGGAACGGAAAGAGTTAAACTAAAACCTCAATTTGAAATAAAGGACATGAGCCATTGCTTTATAACATATTTATTATAGTCTTCAGTTGCATGTGGGTACTAGCATAGACCATAGTAAGTACAGCTTATTTCTTTTCTGTGAAAGGACTGTAAAATCTTTAAATTTGTGATTTCTTTATAGTTAATTGCTATGTTTGACATGGTTTTCATCAGATGTTGGAAACAACTAAGCAAAATAATTTGGAGTAGAGCTACTTGATTTGCAGCTCATTGGAGATTTTTATTTTCTTTAACTAGTTGTCACGTGTATGACTTTTTTTTCTTTTTCACTTGAGATTATTTGGAGATCTATCCATTTTCATGCTATTTCTTTGTATTTCTACATTTAACATGCTTAATAATACAACATTCCCTCTTTAAATATTAGTATTCACAATTCTTTTAATCATCCGATTTTAGGGGGAGTCTTAACTACCATCTGGTAGCTCGTGTTTGTATCTTTTTCAATGAGTAGCAAAACAAAAAGCTATTGTTTAATAATGCTTTAACACTGTTAATCTAGTTCATAATTTGTGTGTTTTTCCAGTGGCTGAGTAATAGAATCTAAAGCAATATTTAATTTAAAGATTAGTAGTGGAGAATTGTTGAACAGAGTTGACTATCTTTGGTCTTCATGGAGTTAGGTAAGGGCTTAGATAGCAAGTAAAATGAATCTGTATTAATAATTACATCCCTTTAGGCCCTTTACCGGAGTTAAAAGGGTTTTTGTCAAATCTATAGACTTAGAAATCATTCTAGGGGAAGAAAAAACCCTAATATGTTAGGCGTAGTAGGTTAAGCTGTACAGAAAATATCTCTGTACATATTTAAAATATGCTTTGGGGATATATCTTTCCAAACTACATTTCATGGTAGTCCTGTTTTAATTAGCATATATAGTGTGATGTTTCCACTTTAAAAATAATTGTGTAGGGACTTTCCTGGTAGTTGCTCTGCTGTACTTGTAGAATCGTACTTGGTGGTGGTTGCTATGCTTAGAGTAAGTCAAGGAACAGTGGCATCTGCTCAAGTGCCCTAGAATAGGATTTTCTGTAAAAAGAAGAAAGGTAGTTCTTCATAAGTAAACCTGGGGAAGGAACAAAAGAAAGAGAGCGTTGTCAGGGGTGCGTGTGTGATGGGGGGTGTCCGAAGACGATTAGAATGTCTTGCTGTAGTTGAAAAAAATTGTTCCTGGCTCAGTCCCCGCCAGTGCAGCTGTATATGGTACTGGATGTCAGAAAAGCATCCAACACGTGTTGCCAGGTTTTCTTGAGCGGCTCTTCTGTTACAGTGATTCTCCAACAATGCTTTTGGCATACTTCAGCAGAATCAAGTTTTGTGATTGTGAGGAATGATTCTTTCTCTCAATAGATGTGATGCAGACCCCTCAGCCTTAGCCAACTATGTTGTGGCATTAGTCAAGAAAGACAAACCAGAGAAAGAGCTGAAAGCTTTCTGTGCTGATCAGCTGGATGTCTTTCTGCAAAAAGGTACTGTGCTATCCACTTCTTTATCATTTCAGTGTATTTCATGGGGCGGGGGGGAGGGGAAAACACCACTGTTTCCTTCAAGATACTTCCTTTCCCCATAAATTTAGTATTTCTTACTGAATGTAAAGGAATGTGGATCTTTAAGACTTTTTTTAATCACAAGATGAAGGGATGAAGTTGTGTAGCTTTTTTTTTCCCCTCTCCCCTTCTCCAGTTGTAGAAAAGTCCTTTCAGAAAAGCCTCTCAAATGAAAACTCACACTTAAATTCATTTTTAAATGTCAGTCATGCTGCTAGAAGTTTCTGTGGCAGATGTTTGATAACTTTTGAAAACCCAACCTTTGTTGGCCTTCCAGGCATCTAGTGAGCTTCTCATTGCAATTCAATTCAAGTTATAGGTGTTAAGCTCTTGACATTCCAACCCTCAGCGGGCAAATTATTGTGTGTTCATTTGGGATCTAACGTGAAATTGACGAATAGTATTCTGTGAATGATACATTGTCCCATTAAAGTTGCTTTGTTTCTGCTAATTTTAGCTATTGGATAGCTATGAACTTGACCTTAAGTTTTGATCGCACTTGCTTCTTAAAAGATTTCAAATTTACAAATGTGTGATTGAAGGAAAAGTCTCTGTTTCTGTGAAATTTTTTTGTCTATGTAAACAACCTAAAATTCCACAAATGTAATTCCAGCTCCTTAAATGGACCTAATGTTCATTGGTTTAAGATGCTGCTGCTGTAACCAGTCCTTCCAGAAGGCTTTCTTCAGGGACTTCTCTGGTGACCAATCAACTCCTAGTGATGAACTTAAATCAAGATGTAATGATGTTTTCTTGTGTTCTGTATCCCCAGAAACGTCAGGTTTTGTAGATAAACTCTTTGAAAGTCTGTACACAAAGAGTTACCTTCCTTCTCTTGAACCACCAAAAGCAGAAGCAAAGCCTGCAGGTCAGGAGAAAGAAGAAGTCAAGGAGGAGGTAACATTCATTTTTTTTCTGTCTACCTGCTTTCCCAAATTGGCCATCCTGTAACATTTGTGAGGCAAGATGTAAAAGCAAAACCCATTTTGTTGTGACGAGTGATCTTTATTGTTCTCTGTGCAGCTGAAGGAAAAGGGAAGATGACCAATCACGTGAAGAAAGTTTTAAAATCCTTTTGTAGAATTTGCCTTTGATTTAGGTTAATAGCGTTTGGAAATCCTGTTCAGATGTCCCTGGCCATGGGGGCTGGTAATGATTTGGAAGGGTTTAAGTGGTGGAGAAGAAGCAAAAGTATTCCAAAACTTTCCTTTTCCAATTCTGGATATTCTGTGAGGAATATAAATTATTTTAAATGTATTCTACAAGGCTTAAAATCAGTGAAGTATGCTGGCCTCTATATTTGGGAATAATTACTAAAAAAAATGGATGTAGTCTTCATTCGCCAGCAGTTCTTATTGACAAAATTAAAGTTGAGAAAAGCAAAGTAATGTGTCCATAATTATCTAAATATCTTTCTATATTGTGTAATTCCTACTGTCCTGTGTCTATGATGTATTTTTTCTTCTATATCCGTAATTTTCCAGGGGAAGAGGTCTCTTCTGTATGTGTTTATAGCATCCTAATGTATCAGCTTTGAGAGAGAGTTGCAGAAAAATTGCAATAGAAATAAACTTTCTTTCTCCTCATGTGCTCTGCTCACAGTTCACAAACATACTTTAGGCCAAATATGTGATTTAACTGCTATAGGAAAGATCTGGCTAAACTTAGATAAAGTCAAAGAGACTATAAGATATTCTAGTCCCTTTCCCTCATTCTGCAGATGTTTCTTATGCAGTATTAAAAGGAAACTCCTATTTGTTCTTTTTTTATAAATAAACCATAACAAATGTTGTTTAAGACAAGTACTCTGGGTATTCAGAGTTGTTCTTTTTATCTGTGAGCGTGAAATAAGACGAAGGAAAGATCTTGCTGGAGTGAGTTGTTCTGCCCATCTGTTAAGATTGGCTCATGGTCATGAAAGTGACAAATAACTGCAGATCAAAATCTGTAAGCCAATCAAAACAAAGCTGTACTATGTTGTATTGTGGAAAGCACAAGGAACATGATTCATTAGTTGATTTAAATAAAAGTTACTGTGTAATCTTTTCTTTCCTTTATGATGTCCTCTTTTTGTTTTTGAGGATGATATCCAGAACTACGATGACAATTTATTGAAATGGCTTTGGTGATGGAAGTTCATAATTTACAACTATTCAAGGCTCACTTTAGTAGTTTTCTGATCAGTTCTCAAAAGAATTATCAAAACTTATAACAAATTTTTTGGAATTATCTTCAATTGACTTAATCCTCTTGGAAGGGTGTTTTTTTGTTTTGTTTGTGGAGAGATGGCAGGAGAAAGATACCTAGCGCAGCTTTCTGGGATCAGGACGTTACAGTGCCGTTTGGACAACAGAGTCTAGAATAAACAATATTTTTAATATTTCTTAATAGAAATATTAAATACTAAAAATATTTTATTATCATCCCAGATGCTAATTGTGATTTAAACTAAATCTTGGTCTTATTTTCCTCATTTAAAAAAAAAAAGTGATGTTCATGCTTAACAGGTAGTTGTCTCTTAAACAGAATTTTCAAGAATCGCTTGAGGAAGAGCGAGATGGCAGGAAAAAGAAGCATTCTAGCCCACAGAGAAGCCGTGCAGATTCCAGTGAACAAAGGTTAGTAGTACTCTTGAACCAAGATCTTGGTATCTTCTCTATTTGTTGACTGTGCTCCTAGGTAGTAGTTCCATAAAAATGGCACTATTTTTCCCACTTTTCTGTCTACTGTGTATTTCCGTGTTTATCACATGTATGAGAACCATTGAGTATAAATTGGTCTCGGGGGGGGGGGGCACCACGTTATTCACAGTCTGAGGTATATGGTCCTCTAGTTCTGTTATAATAATCTCCAGGGGCTGACACAAACTATTTTTTAAAATTTGCATAATACATGGATGTGGGAAGGGTTTTTTTGTCGTTTTTTTTTTTGGGGGGGGGGGTGGCAGTGTAAATATCTGTTTTCAAAATTTGTTCTGTTCTTGTTTCCTATAATTTTTTCTCAAATTTCAGAATCTTCTTAATCCTCCCCTCTCTGGCCTCTGTGAATGAGCACTTCAGCGTTGAGATTTTGTATTTTTCTGTATAACTTGAGAATTCTTACGCAAATGTAATGTCACTCTCTAAGTTGGATGAGGAGGATGAGCAGTATCTTCACTTACTACAAACTTGTTTTAGAATTCGGTGTCTCTCCTCATAAACATGGTTTGTATGTATGTTTTCTAGAACCAGAGAAAAAAAGAGAGA